CTGTAGGCCGATAAGCAGAGCATGAGGGCAATGAGAAAGAGTAAAAGGCCCTTCAAGGGGGAGAAACAAGAAGTCCACTCAGGCCAGCCACCTTCTGGCCTCAGCCTTCTGGGGTGGATGCTGAGGAAGAGCCCCTCTTGGGCCATGAAACCCACAATGCACATGGCAACCTGATCAGGTAAATGAATAGTACAGAAGAAATGCCCAGGAATTAGTGATGAAGTCACGGAGTTATCCAGAGATAAAGCAATTCTTATAAAAGAAAAAGCAAATGAGATTCAGTCTACATATCAGGTTAAAAGCATTTCAAAATCCTTTTAATAAAAAACGCCTTCCCCAAAATGACTTTGTGACTGTGGTTCTGCTTTGATGAGAAAATTAAAATGAAGCTTTTCAATGTTTTTCTGGCATAAAGAAGCTGCCTCTCCCATCTCAAAATGCTTTTAACAACTGGTGCCTCAGCTCCTAATGAGAGCAGAGCGAGCCTCCAGCATGTCTTCTGAAACATTTAATTTATATTTTTAATTATTCTGATAAGCCATAATTGTAAAATGACAACACACAGACATTTCCATTCCATATGTGAAGTGACAGCATTTTGAAAGGCAAGCTGCTTCTGTTCAACCAACAGTGTGCTGACACAAGAAGAAGGGCTCAAGCTGCTCCTCTGCACCCAGGGTCCCTGGCAAAACAAGGCTCTCCATCCCCTCTGCTTTTGTTTTCTACAAAATCCTCTGCGGGGCTTACCTTGAACTCCACAACCATAGCATGCAGTGATGCAGCCTGGGGCATCACCATGGCACCAGGCCCCAGGTGCTGGTCCACGGCAGTCCGGACGTACCAGAAGTACAGGTTGTGCCATGGCAGCAGACTGGTGGTGAAGAATGGTTCGCCCAAGAGAAGCGAGACCTGGCAGAGTGACACGGGACCTGGGCGTCAGGGGTCAGCTAAAGAGTGAGGACAGGTTAGCAGTTCCACAGGAATACAAAAGTAACAGGCCATTCATTCAATCAGTCAACATACAAGTGTGCTAGAACAACACCTGCTCTTGAGGATGAGAAACAGGTGCCAGACCCACTCTGAGGAGCAGTGGAAGATGGAAGCAAATGAGGGTGGGAGCTGGCCCCATTTGACAGAAGCAAGCAGAGGGTGTATGGAGGGACCCTAGACATAAGAGCATGGAAAGGCATTCCAGAATGGTATTCTGCAGCCTTCCAGAATGGTATTCTGCAAACCCCCACTTGAACCTTTGCCTTCATACTTGGTAGTTCTTGTCTAACTCTACCTCCTTCCCCTGACTCTGAGCACGAGGGCGGGGATGCAGCACTTGGCAAAGTGTCTGGCCCAGAGCAAGTGTCCAGCAGAAAAGCTTTAATCAGGGACTCAGAAAGGATGCATTTTAAAAGATCTCCCTGAGGACCCGGAAGTACATGGGGCTAATACAGGAGTGGTAGGTGGCACATTGGGCATCTCTGCCAATGCCTCGCCCTGCCATAGCTGGTGAAATCGTAGTTGGAAAGGTCCCGGCAGGAGGCCCAGAGGACAGAGAGAGCTCGACCTGGTCAGGGATAGGCTGTCCACCCTGGCCTAACCCTGCTGCCATATGACAAGGCTCCTGCTACTCACCTTTTTACCCTCTAGGTCTGCAGATGTTAACAATTCGGGCCGTTTCGCTATGATATTGATTTTACCTTCCAAGTGGTTAGCCTTGAAGATCTCAAAAACGAAATAATAAAATTACTGTATTCAGACTGAAGTGTTATTTTAGTCCAGAACAAAAAAAGAAAAACGACTCAAAGTTGCTTTATCTGCTTGAAGTTTTGTGGCCTTCTCATTCTAGAGCACCCCTTTTATGCTTTGTGGAAATTCTCCTCCAGGGGAACCCTCCAGCCCGAGGGAGAGCCACAGATGGACTAGCCAAAGGAAGTCCTGCAGGCAGCAGCAGGATGAGGTTGGCCTTCCTGGCTAGAGAAAGAAACGCCATCTCTAGCCAGGCTGTGAGAGCGACTCCCTGGCACTGATGTCCCAGAAACGACCACATGCTAGGTCCTATCTCTGTGAAGATCTTAGCCTTAGTTTTATGTGGAGTGAGAAGAGTCTATAACTCTCCAGCCACCAAAACCAAAGCCAGTCTAAACACTTGGTTCTGCTTCAGTGACAGCCCCGAAGGTTACCAGCTGTGCGCCAAACAGCAGCTAGGACAACTCCACAAAGCCTGATGGCAACTACCGTCCCCAGTTCCTTCCCCTGGAGACTGAAAGTACTCCAGGGCCATCACTCCCAGGCCCCCTGGACTCTCGTTATTTCAGTAGCAACAATTATCACTTACTTTTTTCATTAGTTTATGAGATGCTGTTGAACTCTCAACTGTAAATACCTGAAGAGAACACCATGATATTAGTGGAAAGAGATTCATAGAACAAAGGAAGAGATCAGACTAAAACGCCACAGACCCTTCGCAGGCAGAGGCTAGCACCCGAACATCTCCACCTATGCTCACCACCCACCTGGGCCAGCACCCACACCCTGCACTCACCTGGCCAGGGGGCTGTTCAGAAATAGCCACAGCCACTCGGTAGTCACTCCAGGCTGACTCCACCACACAGGCAGGCAGTGGAACCCAGCCTGAACCCAGCCTACTGCCAACACAACAGCTGCACTCAAGAGCTTCCTTCACAGAACTGTGTACCCAGAGCACACTGAACCCTAACTTAAGAGCTGACCTTAAGAAGTACAGAAGAAATATAAAATAAAAAAAAAGAGAGCGCCAAGAAAAAGAGTCAACTGTAGGAAGCGAAAGATGGCACCGGTCCATACCTGCTCTGCCCCCAGGTGGTGGGCCAGCACGGAGAGCAGGCTGCCGTCACTGACACAGAGGCAGACGCTGTCGGCCCTCAGCACCTGTTGGAGAGAAACCAGCTCAGCGTGGTCGGGAGTCTGTGTGGTTCACCAGGAGAGTCTCACTTGCAAACTGCCAGATGTAGCTCCATCTCCTGAGCCCACGCTCAGGGTCTGGTCTCATCTCCTCAGCCTAGCCTCCCCCACTGCTTGGCTGGACCCTCTTGTGCCTGTCCCCCTCAATCTCCCAGGCCCTGGTGGTATCCAGCCCCCACCCTCAGGCACACTGCCTGGCTCCCACCTCCCCACCTTCCCACTTTCGGGAAAGACCCTCCTCACCCAGCCTAGGAGGCCAGCTGAAGGCCTGCCCGCCTGCAGGGGCTATCTTATCATCTTCCACAGCATTCTTCCCTGTCTAGTGACAGCACAGACAGCTTAGGCCTGTGGGTCTCAAGGCTCAGAGCCTCTCAAGTGACTCCCCTAAGGTACGGACGCCTGATGGGTCACAAACCCTCCAAGAGAAACCAAGAACAGCTCAGATTTTTTCCTCCCCCAGGAAAAATGTGTGCATGTGCACATGTGCACACATACTTCCATACACAACCCCAAGGGGTCCAAGAAGCTCACTCAAACCCTGTCTGTGGTGCCCAGGGTGAGAGTCCCCCTACTACAAGCAACAAGGAGCAAAGGGTTCCAGGCTGGAGAATTACATGACCAAATTTACGTTTTAGAAAGCTGACAACAGATGCAGAGCAAAGGGGGGTAACTGAACCTATGGGACCATCCATACCAACTGCTGGCTTCAGGGACCACCAGGATAGACACAAGGGCTGGGCAGAGGGTCCCAGCTGGAGGTTCCAGGGTGCAGCAAACAAGTCCTTCCAGAAGTCTAGGAAGCAATAAGCTTTCCTGCTTTCTGCTCTGGTGCCACCACAGCATAGCTGAAACCACTCACAAAGGGTCATAGAAAACAGAATTGGCAAGGGGCTCTGCACTCACGGTCCTCAGGGCTTGGATGTACTGATCGGTTCTGTCCTGATCATTGATCTCTCCAAACCGAGGCCGATTCCAGAGTAGGTGGGCCTGGCAGTCACACACAGGGCGCATCTGAGAGACTCGCCCATTCTCTTCAGGGCTAGGCCAGGAGATAACAGACAGACATGGATGATGAACACGTCCTGCTAGACACCGAGTGGGGGACACAGCACAGGGACCGGTCCAGCCAAACTTGACACAGGTCCTGGGGGCCACGTCCATCGTCACAAGAGGACGTGAGTCTAGACAATGGCTCCCAAGAAGATATGATGTGACAGGGCCTTCCACTTCAAAACCCTCCTCATGAGTGTTCTAAATGGAGCTCAGCAACGTGCTATCAAGCTGAGCGACACACAAGTCTCTTCTGAGAACACACCCACAGGTACTAACACACCTAGTCACAAACCTTTGTTCTTATTCTGTTCCAATACAAATCTGTCTACCACACCTCTACCAGGTCTGTGAACGGGATTTCCATTAAGTGCGGTCTCAAAGGCCCTGTCTTCCACTCCCGCTGCGGCGCACCTGGTCCTCTGAAGGCTGTACCACACGCAGTAGTCATCGTGGTGGGCGACTAGGCAGAGGGCTGAGCCCTGTTCCACGGGCTCCTCCTGTGGCAGGAAGTACACGCACTGCATCCAGTGGTCCCGCCACTGAGCTGGCGCAAACATTAGACCAGCCCTGCTAATCAGGGAGCCACAAGCCAAGCCAGATACCAGTGGGCAGGGAGACTGTGATGTAGGCCACAGTCACCGCGGCCAAAAAGATGAAGGAAACATCTTCAAGCCACAGGATCTGGTAGCCCAGCACCTTGCTGGAACCCTGCTGGCTTCAGGGTGGTTCAGGGAGAGACTTGTCCCCACTCCACCAGAGCAGCACCATTGCTTTCTCCCAATACACAGGGCTGTGCCTAATGACTCATTTGGAGGAATAATTTCTGGCTAAAAAAGCTTCAATCTAGAGGTCTGAAGGGGACCCCACTCTGAACAGTGCCACAGAACATATGCTATAACTTTAATATACTCAGAATTTATTTTTGCCTTTTATATAAGCCATTTCAAAATACAAACACGTTCAATGGCAATGCACAAAATCTAATGAGATTCCAGATCATGGAAAAAAAAAATACTATTAAAGACTTCTGGAGAGGGGCCAGCAGGTGACATGGTGGTTGGAGTGTTGGACTCCCACATGGCTGATCACAGTTTGAATCCTGAACCTGGCAGCTTGTTTTCTCACTTTCTGTCTCTCTGATCAAATTTAAAAAAATAACAACAATAATGAAGAACCAGCAGATGGAGTAACATTGCTGGACTCCCACGTAGTCGACTCTGATTTTAGTCCCAGACCCAGTGGCTTGAAACTCATGCCAGGTGCATATGTGTGCTGTGTGTGCCCAAAATCCTGAGAGGAGAATGGAGAAGGGATTGCAGCATGGCCATCCCCCCAGGGAGTGATTTTCTCTCTTTCTGTCTCTCTGTCTCAGTTTCTCCAGCAAGCGTGCCCTATAGCAAAAAATCTCTCTTTAAAAAAATAATAATAATGATAGGTTGGCAGGTGGCATGGTGGGTAAGGTGCTGGAATCCCACTTAGCCGACCGTGGTTCAGGTTCTGGACCTGGTAGCTTGCTTTCTCACTGCCCCCTGCTCTATCTCTGGTCAAATAAAAAAATAATAATGATGTATAAAATTATTCTTAATAGTAATAAATAATTCTTAAAAAAAAAAAAAAGGTGCAGTGAATGGCA